AGACACAGGGCCAGGAAGAAGTGAAGAAAGACAGGTAAGAAAGATTCCCTAAAGAGTACTGATAGCTACACAGAGACAGGCCAATAAAATCGAGAAACAGTGTAAGTCAGAAGGTAAACACCAAACGTGATCTAAACCAACAGTTTCAATGATAAAATCATAAGTGAAAATAAGCGATCAGACTAGAGTCACTTCTCTGATCTCCGATTCCGACCTCTCCCTTTTGTTTTTCATTGCAACGTAGGGGTGGGGCTTTGTCTCCTGTTTCGCGTTGTTGCCTTAAGAACTGAGGTAAAGTTTGTTGATAGGTGGGCAGGGCAATGGAAGTCTCTGCCTGGAGAATAGCAAGGTAGTTTAAGCAGATCTGTTTTTCTCCGCTTGTCTGGGTCCCCCAGCCTGGGGTCTCGTGCTGAGTGGCTCAGCCAGGGTGGGCCCAGAGTTCCAGAGCTCCAAAGCTCCAAAGGGCAGGCAGTGGGCAGCGAGAGTGGCTCTGGGCCTCCCACAGGGTACTTCAGCCAGGAATGGGACCGGTGTCTCTGAGGGGCAGGCGCCCAGAGCCTCCCTGTGTGACCGGCGGCTTGGTGCCGGGTGCCAGGCTGGAGACAGTGCAGCTGGGGAGGGAGCCAGAGGGGGCTGGGACCAAAGACTCCCATGCACGCAGTGGAATAGCAGCAGCAGGGGGCTGCAATATCTGGCCTTAGGAAATGAGGTAAAGTTTGTTGATAGATGGGCGGGGCAATGGAAGTCTCTGCCTGGAGAATGGCGAGGCAGTTTAAGCAGATCTGTTTTTTTCCATTTGCCTGGGTCCCCCGGCTTGGGGTCTGGGCGACAGAGTGAGACTCTAACTCAAAAAAAAAACTGAAATGCACTAGTTCAGGCTACTCTAGCAGTGGTAATAAGCAAGACCCCAAATCTTGGCAACTTAGAGACTTCATGGCTTAACCCAATAATAGTTTATTATTCACCCACTAGCCCCACTCTGGGCTTCTGGTGAAACAGCTCTCCTCTGAGCAGTGATTCACAGATGCAGGCTCCTTTCTTCTTTGATGTAGGTTTCTGGAATTGTTGGGAAATTTTTGTATCAAATTATGCAAGAGGAAAAGAGCAGGGACAATTGCTCAGGGGTGGTTTTTATGGGCCAGGCCTAGAAGTAGCAACATATTCCACTGCTCACACAATGTTAGCCAAACTCAGTCACATGGCCACATTCAAGCACAAGGCAGGCTGGGAAATGGAGCCCAACTGCAGCTCAAGGAGACAGAAAATGACCCTGGTGACCTGTCAGCATTATCTGCCACCAACAAAAACAAGTTGCAAACTATAAGACAATGTTGTACCAGAAAACCTGGGTGAAGGCTATTGACAAATCACTGAACTAAAAACCAGTGAAAACTGGTTTAATTACTCTGTTACTTTTTGTATTAAAGTTCTCCAGATAAGCAAGACCAATAGGATATGTATCCACAGAGAAAGCGATTCTGTATTTTAAAAATTGGCCCATCTAAGTATCAACACTGGCAAGTCCAAAATCTGCAGGGTGAGCCAAGAAGCTGGAGATCCAGGAGAACTAGCGCTCCAATTCGTGCCTGAAGGTAGTCTGCTACATAGTTAGAAAGAGCCAATGTTAGACAAAGTCCCAAAGCAGCCTTCTGGAGAATTCTCTCTTCTCAGGGTAGGCCAGTCTTTCTGTCTATTCAGGCTTTCAACTGATTGGATGAGGCCCATTCACATTATGCTTTATTCAATGTCCACCAATTTAATGTTAATTTCACCCAAAACACCCTTGCAGAAACTCCTAGAATAATTTTGACCAAATATCTGGATACCCTGTGGTATCTTTATGTGTCAGTCTTGTTGACACATCAAGTTAACCAGAATTATCTGCATATTTTTGATAGTCAGGAATAATGGTCAAGAGCAAAGCTTTGGAAGCAGCAGACCTGAATTTGAATTCTGGTTCTGCCGCCTCCAAATTAAGAAGTGACTTCATATCTTAAAGCCTCAGTTTCCTCATCTTTAAAATGAGGATAATAATAAGATGTTGTGAGGATTAAATTAGATAAGCCATGCAGCACTTTCAGAACAAGGCCCAGCCCCAGCAGGTATTAATAAATGGCGGTTGTTCTATTCATACTGCTTGACATTCTTACACTATGCCTTGAATGTAGCACATACAGCAATGCATGCTTTTGGCTGGAAGACACAAGATGTTTGACCAAATAACTCTAGTGCAAAGGCCAGCAGTGTGGAAGAATGGAAAGTGCCTGTGTTATCTCTCTGGAGTTCCTCAGGATTGTGTGCAGTGCCTCGGGTTGTCACTTGGACACCCCAGCAGACCTCCAATATAGACTATTCAAGAAAACCCCAATATAGTCAACATGGCAATCTGGGTGTGAACCCCAACCTCCCCAATGTAAGCCATGGATGTCCATCTGGCCTTGCTTGCACATTGCATCAGTTATCTAGTGCTATGATAATGCAGCATAACAAGTTATATCAGAATTCAGTAACTTATAACAATAGATGTGATTATTGCTCCCAAGTCAACAGGTCAGCTGATCTGGCCCAGGGTAGGCATGTCTTGGCTGGACTCACCACACAGCCCTTGTCAGCTGGCACATTAGCTGGGGGCTCCCCTGTTTAGGACCACCTCACTTGTCTGCAGAATGGATGGCTATTGACTGGGGTGATAGGCAGGACAGGTTACCTGTCATTCAGCATCCAGTAGGCTAGCCTAGGCTTGTTCATACGGCACCAAGGACTTCAAGAGAGAGGAGAAGCGTGAGGTCACTGGAGACCCAGGCTCATCACTTCTGCCATATCCTTTTGGCCAAAGCAAGTCACAAGACCAGTCCAGATCAAAAGCCCAGGGTTGTGAAGAAACATGATGTCATGAGCAGGCATCACCATCTGATGCTTATTGTTCATTAGTGTTACCTAATTTAGCAGTGAAATGTTTCGCCCCACATGTTCCTCTGAGGGGCCCATGACATTTATTTTCCCCAGCTAAAGGCCAAAACTAAGGATACAGAAGCATTATTCAGGTTCTTTACCTTGCTCAAGCCAGTTCAGGCTTTGGTGAGTTTTAGGGCAGGGATGGGCTCATCACCTTCGGGGAGGGTCACAGGTGGTCCTGAAATTCAGCGTTGGTCTCAGACCTGGCAAGCCCCTTGCTCATTGTGCACTTTGGGAGATCTTGTCAGGGTTGATTATTAAATAATAATGAAATTAGTGCTCAGTTGAATTAGACATGGACTTGATTTTTCAGCTTTTATTTAGATACTCACTTGTTCAGCATATACTAAACAGCAAGCAAGTCAAATATAATCGGTATCCATTAAAGTTCCATTTTAATATGTATATGTGCATACACATACTTTATATGAATACACTTTGCATGTGATGCATTTGACATAAGTATATATTTAATGTATCTGCTACATATCAAAACATAAATATATAGGAAGATATAAGTAAAAAAATACTTAAATATACACATTTAAAGTATATTTTAATCAATCCCAGAGATTTGGGAGGCTGAGGTGGAAGGATCACTGGAGGCCAGGAGTTTAAGATTAACCTGAGCAGCATAGCAAGACCAGTATCTACAAAAAATAAATATTGACCAGACAAGGTGGCTCATGCCTGTAATCCCAGCACTTTGGGAGGCTGAGGCAGGAGGATTGCTTGAATTCAGGAGCTGAGGACCAGCCTAAGCAACATAGTAAGACCTCATCTCTACAAAAAAATTAATTAGCCAGGCGAAGTGGCACATGCCTGTCGTCCCAGCTACTCGGGAAGCTGAGGCAGAAGGATCAACTGAGCCCAGGAATTCAAGATTGCAGTGAGCTGTGATTCTGGGTGATAGAGTGAGACCCTGACTCACTGGGTGACAGAGTGAGACTCAAAAAATAAAAAAACACACAGCCTGGCATGGTGGCATGTGCCTGTAGTTCCAGCTACTTAAGTGGCTGAGGCAGGAGGGTGGCTTGAGCCCAAGAGTTTGAGACTGCAGTAAGCTATAAGTGCACCCCTGCACTCCAGCCTGAGTGTGACAGAGCAAGTTCCAGCTACTTGGAAGGCTGAGGCGGAAGGATCGCTGGAGCACAGCAGGTCGAGGCTGTGGTGGCCGGGAGCGTGCCACTGCCCTTCAGCCTGGGCGACAGAGTGAGACTCCAACTCAGAAAAAAAAGATCCTATCAGAAAGGAAGGAAGGGAGGGAGGGTAAGAGGGAGCAGGGGAGAAAAAGAGGGGAAAGAGACAGAGAGAGAGAAAGAAAGATCTGAAGCAAGATGCCCTGTTTGAAAATAAATAAATGAAATGAAAGAGAGAGAGAGGAAAGAAGAAAGGAAGGAAGGGGAGAAGGAAAGAAAGAGAGAGAGAGAGAGTCTGAAGCAAGATGCCCTGTTTGAAATAAATAAATAAATAAAATAGGAAGAAATAAAATGTCTGGCACCATGGATCTCATCTTTAAGGGCATATATTCCACTTAGAATCTTGTTATTACGTTTCACTGAGTAAGATATTTAACAATCCCTCTTTACGGGGGCTACAGAAGCAGAAGTAGCAAAGAGGAAGGAGGAAGGAAGGAAGGAAAAAGAAAAGGAAATAAGCAACAGGAGGGGGAAGAAGAAGAGAGAAGAGACACGGGATACACAGACAAAAAGCTGGTTGGGCCACATGTTGGCTCAACTCTAGCTACAGTGTTGAAGAGAATCAGACTGTTTTCAACTGGTAGAATGTAAAGATCTCCCTCCAAGTCCCTTCTTTCCCTCTGGAGCTGACGTGTCTTCATTTTTTCCCAAAGCCACGGGACCCGGTGTGCAGGAGAAGTTTCTGCGGCTGCCAACAACAACATCTGTGGGGTTGGAGTGGCCTACAACTCCAGGGTGGCAGGTAAGCTGTCCCTGCTACACAACAGGCCCCTGCTGGGCAGCAGGCCGGAAAATCACAGCAGGGTCTCCAGTTCATCCAGGGCCCAGCCCGAAACTCCCCTATGGCAAGAGAACTGGGATCTGAGACACAGCACAAGCGAAATGTCATGGCAGTATCTGAACATTATTAATCTTTAACATAAGTATAATATAAATACAGAAAAAGACACCGATCGTAAGCACACAGCTCAATGAATTTTCACCAACTGGCCACACCTAGGCAGCGATCAGGAAACAAAACATTACCAGCACCCCAGAGGCCATCCTGTCCCCTTCCCATCACTACCCAGATACACAAGAATCACCCGAGTCCTGTCTTCTAATAGCAAAAGCTGGCCATTGCCAGTTTTTGGATTTTATATAAATGGAATTGTACAGCCGTTACTCTCTTGTGTCAATGTCAACATTATTTTAATGAGACTCAAATATTGACTGATGAATACACGGAGGTGTGTACAAATTCCTGGTGAATGTCCTCAGAGCCCTTCAAAATGTCTGGCACCACAGATCTCATCTTTAAGAGGATAAATTCCACCTAGAATCTTGTTATTACGTTTCACTGGGTAGAATATTTAGCAGTTCCCTCTTTACAGAGGCTACAGAAATGGAAGTAGCAAGTCACAGGAAATTTAGAAACAAACACACTCCCCTCCCCCCCAAAAAAAGAGAGAGAGAGCAGGAGAAACAGAGAGATTCATAGGCTTTCAACAGGATGCCTGGGTATGGTGTGGCTTCTGTCCTGTTCCAAGTTTTGTATCAGATTGATTCTTAATTTATTCAGGCTGAGTCACCCAACCTTGTTGTTCTTTCTTTTTTTTTTTTAACAACCATCTCAATATTTTTTTTCCTGGCAACTTAATGAAATCATAAACCTATTTTCTGCTGACATGCATATTTCCAGGGAACTAAATAAAGCAAAAGTAACCTGCACAGACCCACTGTGAACCACTTTCAGCACTGTTTGCTGAGAGGCTTGCCTGAACTGGGTGCTAAATTTTACGAAAGAACACGTCTGGAGGTCTCTGGAATATAAACAGAGACGGCTTGGCCCCTCAGTTCCAGCTCTCCTGATCTCGTGTGCATCCAAATAACTGGCATTAAAATGTCAGGAGCCATCAGGGGCTAGGGGAATAAATACCACTTGGTAAATATTTCATAAGCCAGGCTCATACCTGGGCTGGCATTTGAGGCCAGGCAGGTTCTCTGCTCACAGAACAGAACTGGAGGCCACTGGAAAACTCAAACCTGAATTGCTTATTCACATACCCAAGGTAGCTGGTTTTTAAATGAAGTTGAATGAACCTGCAAACGTTAGAAGAGCTGGGAGCAGCTCTTGGCTTTCTGAACTCATGGGGATTTCACTGTCTACCTGCTTGTTTTCTCTCTCTCTTATTAAATTTGCACTCTGAAAAAAATCTGAAGTACTCATCAAATATACCTAATGGTCTTGCTCTCTTAGTCTGGATTCTGTTAAAGCGAAATTTGAGGGAAGGATTTGGATGCAAGCAGTTTATGTGAGAGGTGGTCCCAGGAAACCAGAATGAGGGAGTGAAGCAGGACAGGGAAGGGAGGGTGCCCACAAAGGGCGTGCTGCTGAGCTGGTGGGTCTCATGGACGACAGGAGCCCACTCCTACAAGTGAACCCCAAAGTGAGGAAGCTGGGGCATTCATCCGTCAGCTCCCATCGTTCAGTCACTGCCAGGCCATTAACACCCTGGTCTGTCCAACCTACCCAGGGCAGTTGGGCAGGTAACAACCCCAGCAAAAAGACAGAGACCAATCCATAGGATCCAGGCAGAAAGCAGCAGCCCCGCCTCACCTGCTAGATGCAGCCTGACACGTGAAAGACACGACTTTGCTTCTATGAAATGCCAGGATAGTGCAGGGGTCATAGCAATGCTTGGAGGTTCCAGAGCCTTAGAACAGAGCTGGTGGGAGGTACGCCCAGTCACACTTGACCCCAGCTTTGCTCCTTTGTTACCATGCACACTGTTTTAATTGTTCAAGTGCTGGGGAGGCTCTAAGGCCATTCCTGTGCCCTTTAGGGCATCCAGTGTCCTCTCCCTGGGGACTCAGAATGAATTCTTCTTGAGGAGGCACTAGGGAATCACTCATGAATTGCAAACAAAACCAGAGTTTCAGGCCCCTCAACCTTACAGGTTTGGAGGAACATTTTATTTATCCTGGCTGGCAATTCCAAAAGTTGGCTGGTTTTTAATTATTCTCTAAAAATGAGCCAAATCCTCCAGGGAGATATAGAGCACCACCTGGTGGCCAGTGGAGATTATTGCTGGTCTCTGAAAGTCTCAAGGTCTTCATCACAGGTTGGGGAGATGGCAGTGGCAATGTCTGAAGACCTTCCCAAGTAACCCCTTCACCCTGTCTCGAAAGTTAAAATGCTGTAGAATCTTAGTCCAGAAATAAAAACAAAAATGGAGAACCCATAATAAATTGAGTCCTCCAAAAGGAAGAAAGAGCACTGAGTATCTCTTCATCAGCTTGCTGCCTGTTGAATTCCTCTTATGTTCATGAACTTGACTCATTTTCCATCAAGGATTGTCTTCTCCCTGGTTATGTGAAGTCCCCTTTGGTGTGTACAGACTTTAGCTCTGACCTGTTTTAGTCAGAGCAAATATCTTCTTTCTATCTATTTTTATTTCAAACTCTGTACTTTGTAGACCCAAACATAAAGGTGTCCCAAAAATCTTACTGTAGTCTCAAAGCTTTAATAACTTCAAAATTTCTGTTTGAAAATTTAATTATTTGCATTCTATTATCCATTCCTTTAATTTTATAAATTTTAAGAAAAAATATTAATATTAATTTTTTTAGTTTCAAAATGTGCTTATTCAAGAAACTCTCTAAAAAGAGAACCCAATTCTTTTCTTTTTTTAATGCTAATTTTTAAATCCATGTTTGAACATCTTCAATCAAAGAGATTGAGACAAAAACTTGACATTTAAAAATGTGTTATTCAAAGTGTACAAAGCCAAATAAATGCACAACAGATATAAATAATGACCCTTCCAAGGGATGTTTCTTGCAAACTTGTCAGATTTGTACTTCAAGACTTATTAAAGTTCAAGACGGCACTAAGCCTCTTGAGAGACACTGCCTTCTACTTCCTGTCCGCTCATGCAGTCCACAGTTACTGAGGGCTCCTTACAGTTCAGGTGATGGGTGCACAGTGGCCCCTGTCCCATGCAGCTCAGCCTAGGGAGAGACACAGACAGGGCGTGGACAAGCAAGAGGACATCAGATGATGTCTTGTGCCATGAACAGATTAAAGCAAGATGACAGACAATAACCAGGGCCTAGGGACAGCAGGCGACTTAGTCAGCTGCGCAGTTCCACAGTGCTCTGGGCTTCTACAGAGACTCTCAGAGCAGCCCCACGGTGGGGTCAGGTCAGGCAAGTTTGGTCTTCATCTTCTTTTTTAAACCAGAGCATACAAGGGGGGACCCCCAAAAAACAGATTTATTAAAAAATTGTGCATTCATTCTTTCGTGTTTAAACTTCAGTTACTTTCAGAATACTCTCCATTTGGTGCAATACACCTATTGAGATGCTTTTTCCATTGCTCAAAACAGTTTTTGAACTCATCTATTTTAATGCCTTTTAGTGCTTCCGCCGTTTTTTGTTTCACCCCTTCCACATTGGCAAGACATTTCTCTTTGAGGATTTTTTCATCTGGGGAAACAAAGTTGCCTGGGGTGAGATTGGGTGGAAAGGGAGGGTGGGCCATGGAGGTCATGCTGTTTTCGGTCAAAACTGCTGAACTCTCAGTGAGGTGTGGGCAAGGTGTGCCCATAAATCACCCATCATGAAATGGGCAAAGACTCTCCAAAAGAATTTTGCTGAAACCAAATGCAGCCTCTCACAACACTAGCTGGTACACTGATCCTGATGGGTCCTAGAACACGTACCTAATGGGGGAACCCTGTTCTACAAGGGGCCCACCCTCCAAAGATAATTCTAGGTTTTGGGGGGTCTCCCTAGTATACATGTATGCACTGGGTGTCAAGGTACGATCACCTTTGTGGTAGATTTTGAATAGTTTGAAATCCACACTGCTGACCAGTATCAAAATACCCCAAAATTTCTCTACTAGCAATAAGTTGCTTTCATATATTATTGTTGTTGTTGTTGTTAGCTAATAAATCTCATAGCATTGCAGTGAATTTGTACATATTTTTTCAATAAACCAGTAAAAGTTACCATAAGCTCAATGATTCACATGAGTTTTTAGATCCTAAAACCTGGATGAGCATGAACTTGCCCCTTAACCTCCGGGCTAATATGCCTGAGCACAAAAGACAGTGATTATGGGTGCTGAGGTTTGTGGACAGATGTAGCGTTTACTGGTGGCAGATACCAGCATGCCTTGTGCAACAGAAGCAAAGGCAAAGAGGATGGTGTCCAGTCTACTGGGCCATGCAGCCCCCAGGGCACCAGGGCTAGGCACAGTGCAAGCCCTGCAGGTAGGTGGGTAAGGCCCCTAAGTGGATGGAAGAGGGACACACAGTCAGCTTTGGTCATTACTGTGGTGTGCAGGCCTGGGGGTGGGGGAGGCATAAGCGTTTACTGTGTGCTTTTCTCTGTCCTTACCGGTGGAATCATATCAGCCAACAGAGCATGTTATGGATGTGAAGACACTGACACTCAACTCTTTTGAGATCTCTCTCTCTCTCTCTCTCTCTCTCTCTCTCCCCTCTCTTTCTCTCTCTTTCTGTGTGTGTGTGTCTCTCCCTCTCCGTCTCTCTCTCTCTGTCTCTCTCCCTCCCTCCCTCTCTCATTTTCTGTCTCTCTGCCTCTCTCTGTCTCCCTCCTTCTCCTCTCTGTCTCTCTCTCCTCTCTCTCTAGCTCTCCCTATTTCTCTCATTCTCTTTCTCTGGGTGTGTGTCTTTCTCTGTCTCTCCTTCTTCCCAACCTCCCACCCCCATCTCTCTCCTTCTCTTCTTCTCTCCCTCTCTCCCTGACCCTGTAGCATCTAGAGCATATCCAGGGGCAGAGGAGAAGTACTCCCTTAAAGCCTCTGGGCCACCCTGAGCCTCTGCCTGGGCTGCTAATGGTGCAGTCACTAGCAGAATTAATACTGTATCTCATTCAATTAATGCATGCCTCATTCATCCTGAGCTTAATGAGATTAAAAGAGCCTCAGGCGCCTGGCCCCTGCATATGAATGAGAGCCTAGCTCTGTCTGTGGTCACCCTTTCTGCTAAAACAGTCAGAAGATTAATACATGTCCGTTCTGATGCTCTTGTGCGGCACAAAGGGAACCCATGAGGGGACACAGAGGGACAGAGGCACAGGGAGGAGAGCTGCTAGGAGGAAGCAGGTACGTGCACCACTGGCTGGCAGTGGGGCAGTGGAGGCCAACTTTGTCCAGAGTTGAATTTTTCTCGCCTTCCTGTGGGCAGTTCAGCCCTGGTCATCCAGGCACCAGGCAAGTCCAAGAGCGTCTGAGCAAGTGAATGCCGGCTCTTCCGTGTTTATTTCCCATCCACAGAGTGGGCCTGACTTCACATAAGAAGTTGCATTGTTTGGTTTATACTGTGGCCTGTTGGCACCTTTGTTGAGTAATTTTTTATTTTCTTTTTTTTTTTGAGTTAAGGTCTCACTCTGTCACCCAGGCTGGAGTGCAGTGGCACAATCATGGCTCACCATAGTCTCAACCTCCTGGGCTCAGGCAATCCTCTCACCTCAGCCTTCTAAGTAGGTGAGACTACAGGCGTGCACCGCCATGCTCTGCTAATTTTATTTTTTGTAGAGATAAGGTCTCACTAAGTTGCCCAGGCTGGGCTCAAACTCCTGGGCTGAGACAATCCTCCTGTCTTAGCTTTCCAAAGTGCTGGGATCACAGGCCACAGTACCCAGCCAAATAAATTGTTTAAATTAATAAAATATAGGTGGACCAAAAGCAAAATATAGTTTTGAATTATAAAACTTAACCTCCGGAAAGTTCAAACCAAAGACTAGGCTTTTTCTGGATAAGCCTTCTCCAGGAGAAAGGATATTAACTGATAACTGGATGTTTGTTGGCAAAAATGGTGACCTGCTTTATGGATTAATGGTAGACCATGGATAATCTGGGCCTGTTATTTCTGTTGAGAAGAAAATCAACCAAATAAAGTAATAACACCAGATAATTATTCACCAAATATTTGCCAAGCTGAAGATCAATACCAAGCATCATGCTGGTCCAAGGATCACAGACAAAATAAGCACATCCCTTGGACTCAAAGACCTTGTGACCTGGTAGTGTATGAACCATTCAAGTAAGCCATTGGGATAAAAGGCTGAAAGTGCATTGAGGGAAGTTGTCATCCAAGCGCAAGGGTTGGTCTATGAGTCATTGAGGAGAAAACAGAGACCTCGGAGTCTCCTGAGGTCTGAAAGTAGCAGACCCTTAAGAAAGAAAGCTGGCCGAGCTCGGTGGCTCAGCCTGTAATCCCAGCACTTTGGGAGGGCGAGGTGAGTGAATTGCCTGAGCCAACGGGTTCAAGACCTACCTGGGCAACTTGCAAGACCTCGTCTCTACAATAAATCAATAAATAAATAATTAGCCATGTGTGGTAGGGTGCGCCTGTAGTTCTGGCTACTTGGAAGGCTGTGGCAGAAGGATCACCGGAGCCCAGCAGGTCAAGACTGCGGTGGCCAGGAGCATACCACTGCACTCCATTCTGGGCAACAGAGTGAGACTCCAACTCAAAAAAAAAAGAAAGAAAAAAGCAATTTCATGTCAGTTTCACATGCCCTGAGAGAACCTGAGTTACCCTTATTTAAATTGATTTGCATACCATGTTAGAGAGGGATGCTTGTGAAATAATGTCCTTGTAATCATGTCCTTTGACCACAGGGGGAACAATAGTGTCAGGGTCCAAGTTTCTGTTTTCGTTTTTTTGTTTTGTTTTGAATAAGAGTCTCACTCGCTCAGGCTGGAGTGCAGTGGCATGATCATGGCTCACCACAGCCTCCAACTCCTGGGCTTAAATGTTCCTTCTGCCTTAACCTCCCAAGTATCTGGGACTATAGGCATGAGCCACCATGCCTGGCTAATTTTTTTATTTTTTTGTAGAGACGAGGTCTCACTGCATTGCCTAGGCTGGTCTTGATCTCCTGGACTCAAGCAATCCTCTTGCCTTGGCCTCCCAAAGTGTTGGGATAACAGGCACAATCCACCACACCTGGGTTCCAGGTTTTGACTGTGCATGGCCACTCTTCATTCCATGAATGGAATTTATTCATTCCCTTCATTCCATAATTGCAGTGTTTGGAAAGACTTAGGTCAGCTTCATTGACACCCTGGGCTCCTTGCCATGGAATAGTGAACCACCTGACTCATCCCAGATGACAAAACCCTGCAAAGAGCCGTATGTCCCCAGTCAGCAAAGTTTTGAGTGTAGTCCTGGAGGGAAAGAAGCCCATTCCATTGGCTGCTCCTGAGTGAACCCTGGAGAGGTCTTTTGTGGATGGCTGGAGCGGGGTGTGAGCCATGGATCATTGACTGTGGCAGGGGCAGCTGACATGGAGACCACCCACGCCATTCTCCCTACAACCTTGTTGTCACAAGATTGGTCTGCAGGACTCCGCTCCTTTTCAGCTTCCAACAAGAAGTCATTTCTACGAGGCATCAGAGAGTAACCAAACATAACAAAGATGCCATGGAGAAGAAGGAGGAGGGGACTGTATCTCATGCCCCGTTACTGATACAGCTTGGTATAACGCACCCAACATTTCTGTCCTCCCCAACTTCCTCTTCAGCTGCAGTGCAGCTAGGAGTTCCTGGTTCGTGACCCGATCTCACCTCCTGCATTGTCCCTGCCCCTTGCCCTCCACCCTCTGAATTGCTTTTTCAATATCAGATATCAATTGCCTCTCCCATCTGTCACAGGCAGTAGCTTTTTTTCTCCCCTGAAATTTGGTCACAGGCAACATCTAGCTCCTTGAGGCTCAGTGTCCACTTGCAAACAGGCTTATCAAGGAATTTCTTCAACAAAGGCAAATTCCCTTCCCCACTGGGAATTCTTGTAAGGTTTGCTAGAGGAATAAAATTTTCTTCAAATAGTTACATAAGAAAAGGCATAGGGGGGTCCCAAAAAGGGGTGACTGCAACCATCTGTGCTTCCTTCTTTTTCTTTTCTCTCTTTTTTTTCTGAGTTGTTGTCTCACTCTGTCACCCAGGCTGGAGTGCAGTGGCATGATCATGGCTCATGGCAGCCTCAGCCTCTTGGGCTCAGGTGGTCCTCCCACCTCAGCCTCCTGAGTAGCTGGGACTATAGATGCATGCCTCTATGTCTGGCTATTTTTTTTTTGGTAGAGATGAGGTCTCGCTGTGTTGCCCAGGCTGATCCTGGGCTCAAGCGATCCTCCCATCTCAGCTTCCCAAAGTGCTGGGATTACAAGCGTGAGCCACCGTGCTCAGCACTGTGCCTCTTTCTTAATTTTTGGACTCCACAAGTGTCCCCCAGGGAATGTGGGGGTCACCAACACTTCCAAGCACACCCAAGACCCAAGCCCTCCCTCATCACTCATCTCCTGTGAACTGGAGAACCCAAACCCGGTATTCTCCGTATCCACAGGCATCCGGATGTTGGACCAGCCATTCATGACTGACATCATCGAGGCCTCCTCCATCAGCCACATGCCACAGCTGATTGACATCTACAGTGCCAGCTGGGGCCCCACGGACAACGGCAAGACAGTGGATGGGCCCCGGGAGCTCACGCTACAAGCCATGGCCGACGGTGTGAACAAGGTAAAGACCCCCTGGTCCCGGGGGCCAGCCACCTGCAAGACAGCACATGGCAGTAGAGTGACAGTGACACACAATACATCAAGGGGGGTGGCGAGGCAAAGGTGGGATGTCACCCTGCGTGTTAGTTCAGGCCCTGCTAGAAACAGGCAGCACGGCAGGAAGATGATTGGAGGGGATACCTGTGAAGGACGGGGGAGGGAAAGGAGACAGGCAAAGCTGGGTCAGGAAGGGGCAGGAAGGGAGAAGTGAGCCTTAGACCCTGATGCAGGTCTGGCCCCTGAGAGGAAGGTGGTAGGGAAGGAGGCTGGGGAGGAGGTCTCAGACTGCAGTCCCACCACCCTAAAGCGCCACCCATCACCGGCAAGAAGAGGCTGCATCAGCACCTCCACCAGGCTTTCAGGAAATGGGAACTCAACGCACATGGGATGATGGTCCAGGTCCAACAGCCAAGACTATGACCTGAGGATGTCTCAGGGCAGAAAGTCTGAGCAGTGCGTGTTCTCAGCCACAGCTCCCTGTGATTAGCAGGGGAATGGGCAACCAGGGAAGACACAGGTAGCACTGCACACTGAGGGGAGGGGAAGGCCCACCCAGAGAGGGCATGAGCCCAGGCTCAGGGTTCAGTCCTGGGTGCGAACCCCACTGCACCACTCAGCGCCTCAGCATCCTTCAGCAAGTGACCTAGCTCACCGAGACTGCTGTGTCACCTGTAAACCAGTGGTGATGCAGAGGACTTGTGGGATTGCTGTGATGTATAAACAAGTTCAATATACAAGTGCTTGGCGCTGGGAAGTGTCTGGCAAACAGTCAGATGCTCAGTGTTTGTCTCTGTCACTGTGGATGCTTCACCCCAAAACTTCATAGCATAAAGCACACTGTCTTACTAGGCGTGGGGATCCCATGAGTGAGGAATTTGGACAGGGCACATTGAGGCTACCTTGTATCTGCTTCACACCTCCTGGACCTCAGCTGGAACACTTGTGACTTGGGCGTCAATTACCAAACTGTCATGCCTTCGCATGCTGTTTTGGAGCCTTAAGCACCCAATCCCAGGCTTGCACAGTCCTTTTGTCCAACCCAGTCTTTTTCTCAGGACTGTCTTCACCATCACGCAAACAGTGGTGCCACCAGCACCCACCCCAGTGCTTTCAGGGCCCTCTCTCTAATCAGCCTGGATGCGAGAATCACACAGCAAGGTTACAGCAACAGTGTATAGACCGAGAGTCATCCAGCCCTGAGTGAAAGAGGGGGAAAGTGCGTGAGCTTTACTGTGTGGGCTTAGGAACTCTATTTCAGGAATTTTTTTTAATGTGCTGCTTGGAGCCAGGCGCAATGGCTCACATCTGTAAATCCCAGCATTTTGGGAGGCCAAAATGAGAGAATTGCTTGAACCCAGGAGTTCGAGACCAGCCTGGAAGCATAGTGGGACCTCCTCTCTACAAAAAATAAAAATAAATTAGCCAAGTGTGGTGACACACATCTGTAGTCCCAGCTACTAGGAAGACTGAGGCGGAAGGATCACCTGAGCCCAGAAGGTCAAGGTTTCAGTGAGTTGCAGTCATCTTACTGCACTCCAGTCTGGGCAACAGAGTAAGACTCCAACTCAAAAAAAGTGTTGGGTTTTTTTAAATTTGCTTCTTGGATTTTGACAAATTTCAAATCAATAAAATGGCTATAGCCATATTTGGACACAGAAACCAGTATGGTTATAAACACATTTTAACATGCATCTGTTCTTCATGTACATTTAAATTACTTACAGTCTGCATATGGAAAATACATAAGCTCATTACTTAGGCAATTATAATAAAATGCTAAAATATGTATATGTACAAAACCCTGTATATTTAACACTAGCCTAGAATAGTAAGAATGTTGAAGGGAATGAGAGTGGGCCACCGAACTTTTTCCTATTCATTTCTTCTTTTTTTTTTTTTGTATCTCACTCTGTCACCCGGGCTGGAGTGCAGTGGCAGCCACTGCACAGCCACCACAGCCTCGACCTGCTGGGCTCAGGCGATCCTTCCTCCTCAGCCTTCCAAGTAGCTGGAACCACAGGCATGCGCCACCATGCCCGGTTAATTTTTTGATTTATTGTAGAGACAAGGTCTCGCCAAGTTGTCCAAGCTGGTCTCAAACCCTTGGCTCAGTCAGTACTCTCGCCTCCACCTCCCAAAGTGCTGGGATTACAAGCATGAGCCAACACATCCGGCCCTATTCATTTCTTGAAGTCAGAGAACATGTGTGTTCCTCCCCAGACAATGGTCAGGGACTAGCCTAGGACTTGAAAACGTAACTCAGTAAATAGATGTGGAATTGGTGCATATGTGAAATGTTATGGTTGAAAGGTTGAAAGTCTCATGGAAATCGGTAACTTCAGTGAGTGCCGCTGACGCCCCTCAAAATCACCTGGACCAACCTGGGTTCCCACCTAGCTGCTGTGCATGTTGCCTGCTGACTCACACCTGCCTCTTCTGGGAGCCCCTGTGGCCTCCAGCCACTGCTGGGGCAATACATTTCTGTCGTTTATGCCACCCGGTTTGTGTTCATTGTTACGTCAGTCCTAGAAAATGAATTCAGTATTTCCTTCCAATCTTATAACGGACAGTCAATAAATGAATTTGACCAGACTCTAGCAGTGTGGAAATGACCTGGTCACTGTCCAAGGTCATCTTATGTCACTTGGCTCTCTCACTTATAGCCAAGATGGTTGATTCTTGAGCCAATGACAACTTTTTTTCCTTCCTGTTTGAGACCTTGAGGGGTTTCCTTCCTCCATTCTGACATAGCTACCACAAAGAAACAAGCATGGCAAAATCCTTGTAATGTAATCCTGGGAGAGAAAAATGCTTCTGAATAGGGCACAGTGCCGTGCTCAAATTGGCTGCCAGTGACATCACATTGGTAGCTTGAAATTAGACATAGAAATTGGCAAACACTGTAAATAAATATCATTTATGCCCCCTTCCGAGAGCTGGTTGTTAAACACCAGCATACCCCTGGTTAGAGGACTACACCGGCTTCCCTTAAATTATAGCTTTTGGATCTCATGTGTTCTCCGCACAAGTAACAGCCAACCTTGCCTTAAGGAGACTGGAAATTCCCAGCTAGAGTCTTAAGTTACCCCAAGACTGTCAAGGCATCGATGAGCTTGGAACTTTCCTACAGCCCTAAAGTTTTCCTAGTCTAACCTGTCTATCGGTTTACACATTCTGTCTATCAGTCACACACATGTTTCTAAGTAAGTGACGGCTTCATGCCTCACACTCTTACATTCAGCACAAGGATCCTAGAAACATGGTTATCAGATGGGAAACAGTCCTTGGAGTAAATAGCCTCATGAGAGCAGCTAATACCAATGGCTACACTTGGATGAAGCCGGTTTAGGAAGTAAAGAAGAGCTGTTCTATCACAAGGTTATGCCGATCTGCTGTTGGAATTCAACCCATCTGAAGCAGCAACGAAGACCCTGACATGTGATGGCACAATGCAATTGACAAAGAATGCCTGCCAACAGGATCGGGTGGCAGGAGGTGGTGTCACTGCCCTGTTTCAATGCCCAGTCTCCTTAAGAAATATTTAGGATGAAACTTTCTGGATTTTTTTTTGAGTTGGAGTCTCACTCTGTCACTCAGGCTGGAGTACAGTAGCACACTCATGGCCACCCCAGCATCAACCTGCTGAGCTCTGGCGATCCTTTCGCCCCTAGCCTTCCAAGTAGCCAGAACTACAGGCATGCACTACCACGCCCAGTGAATTTTTTACTTGTCACAGAGACGAGATCTCACCAAATTGCCCAGGCTGGTCTCAGACCTGTGGGCCCAAGCAATTCACTCACCTAGGATGAAACTTTTGACGCATAAACAGCTTGTTTCTTTATTGCATTATGCCCTGTGCGGCTAGAGATAAATGGTTATGTTATCAAGAGAAGGAGTGCTTCTCTCAGAGAGAGAGGGTTAACAGCGAGTTCTTGTGTTCACGTTGGAATGAATTATCAGACACACAGAGAAGCAGGATAAGCAAATAGCTCAATTAAGCAAAGAAGAGGACACTTCAGAGAGGAGAGCAGGAAAAACAGCCTATAGAATGCTGCTGCTTCTGCACCCAGCTATTGTTGAGCTATAACTATTATTCTTAGGGATTTGAGGAGTGGGTTTGGGGTGAGCATTTCCTAGGAATGGATGGTCTTAGGACAAGGGAGTATTAGACTTCATGGGATCATACTGGTACTGTCATGGCGTCAGGTGTATGATGGGGGTGGGAAGCTTCCTTAGGGTGATTTTATGTTAATAGTATTACAGTGAAGGGTTTTGGTTATCTTAGGTCAACTGTAGCTGTCGATGCTCATGCTCTGGGGTTTCTAAGCCAGTTCCTGCCTTGGTGGGTAGCTCTTGACTGCAAGTATCCTGGATAGGTGGACTATAGTGTTCCAGGTATATCTGATAGGGTCTGACAGATAGGTAGGCTGGACGTTTCCTGTAGGAAGGCCACTTGTATGCGTGTTTAGTACCAGCTACTGCAGGCATCAGTGAGCTTGGAACTTTTCTACAGCCATACAGTTTTCCTAGTCTAACCTCTATCAATTACACATTCAAGCCCATCCCCAAGTGACAGCAAGCATCTAGGGGAACACTTGGCAGATGCCCCCTTTCCCCAGCAGACATGGGTTTTCCCTGAGAGGCATTTTTGACACCCAAGGCAAAAAGAGAGTCAGGCACGTAGGTGATGTCTACCTTCTGCCCAGATTTACAATGCAGATGGCACTCAACACAGCACGTCCCTGGCGGCTTCTGACATTTTCCACGGACTTCTGAACTGCTCCACCACAACCCAAAGCTGGGTATTTCTCTCTTCCCTGTCTGTGACCTCCCTGGCTGCAAGTTAAAAGGCCCTTTCAAATGTGATTGTCCTGCAAAACATACCAAGCACACTGATGCTTAAGAGAGAAATTATTAGGGCTGATCTTCAGAGGGCAGGCATGTAAATATTTTAGAAAGTGA